ACACACACACACACACACACATACTCACTCACTCCTAACATAACACATTTTTAGCAATGACTACGCAGTTTACCAGGCCACAAACTCAGCCTCCCAGCCTGGTGGGCCATTAAGGTAGAATTGTGGAGGGAGGGGGACTATACTTTCTTTGATAAGTTTTTTTTTCCCCAGAGGTTTTCTGCCCAAAAAGCTTTGTGATTTATGAAAACCTTATCATTTGGCTATGAAAACATTGCTTTAAAGTTCACAGCTGTTTTTTCTCAAATCTGACCATAGCAATAAAAGATCGCTCTGAGTTATTCCAGAAGGGAAACCAGGATCAAGGAGCAGTGGACTAACAGAGAGATGGCTCTCAGTTAGGAAAGAGCTCTAAAGGCTGCAGCTGCCACTGCTGCTGCACAGAGGGACCCTCTGGCCAAGGGAAATGCTGCCAAGGCCAGAGTGGGAGGTAGTCTTGTGTTGAAGGCAGACACGACTCTCAGTGCGTGGTGGGTTTGATAGGTCCTTTCCAACCACAACAGTTGATTATTTATTTCATCAACCAATGATTGGTTAAAAATAATGACTAAACTGGGCATGGTGTCACAGGCTTGTATGGTAATCCCAGCTACTTGGGAGGTGGAAGCAGGAACAATTTTAAGTTCAAGGTCTACCTAGGCTAAAGAGCAAGTTCAGCAGGAGTGAATACATGAGATTTTATCTTAGAGTAAACAGTGAACAACACAGGCTGCTGGCATACCTCAGGGGTAGAGCGGTTGCCTAACGCTCATGAGCCCTGGGTTTCACTCCCAGCGCAAGAAAACAATTATGATGATGGTGATGATGACGGTGAAGAATCTGCCCTCTAATGTCCAGTCCATGCTCCGAGGGAGACCTCTGCAGTGTTGGTGGGGAGCAAAGATACAGCCATATGATAGGAATTAAAACCCTAACGCTGCTCTACTTAACTGGTGGCCTTGTGCCAGCTCTACAGACTGGCTGGCTCTATGTTATTGTCTATAAAATGAGATCTTAAAGTATTTCACAGAGTTTCAGAGTTGTCATAAGGATGGCAAGAATTGGGAAGAGTTTATGGGGCCCCAAAAAATAATAAGAACTCAATGTCAGCTGTTACTATCCATTTCCAGTCCCTTGAATCCATGGTCCTGGGCATAGGAAATGGGATAGAATAGGGCTCATATCCATCTTCTGGGATCTATTTATATAGAATGTATTTCAAAAATAAAAGCTTATGCACTGGCTACAGTTCTGCTACAAGGAAGTAAAACACAAGGGAAATTTAAAATATTGTTAACAAACTATTCTGTGTCCAACCATGCTGGGTAATACACCATAAGCATGGCAAATAAATAGCCTGTAAGTTCAAAGAGCAGATCTTCAGCCCAGCCCTGGAAGGGAGATACTGGTGTGTCAGAAGATGAAGGGCTTTGTTTTGAAGACTTGTATCTAAAGCACAGTAATTTGCCAACATCATTTGAGCGGGGTCATGAGGGAAGGCCAGTTAGGAGCTCAGAGCCTCAACTCTGCAGGACCCCCCTGTAGGAAGCATATGGCGCCTGAGTTAAGGGGGTTCAGCCGGGACGGGGCTGTCGGGAGGTGGAGTGGTCTGCCCTCTGTGTTGACTGTGTTCTGTCGTGGGTGAAGGAGCTCTTAATCTACAGCTGATGTCTGAATGGGCTGCTGACCTCTTTCTGCCTGCCCAAACTTACAGGAGTACTTCCAGGGGCTGGAATCTCATGTGATTCTGACTGAAATACTCTTCCGAAAGATTATTGGCTTTGCAGCCGTGAAGGAGACTCAGCTGCACACAGAGCGCATGGCGCAGGCATCTGCCGTGCTGAAGCAGGCTCACAGGAGAGGTGTGGAGCTTGAGTACGTTTTAGAGGTGAGACCACCCATCGGCCATCTTTCTGGTTGCAAAATGGAGCTAAATGGGCTTCCTCGTTTAGAATTATAATTTCCTATGGCTTTGGGTGGTTATGTTCCCTTTGTATTTGGTATGTGATACACTTATATTGTGAGTCAGCTGAGTGAATCCTAACCTTAGAATCTTGTAGGTTTGGGCTTCAAGCCAAAAACCTAATTAGGAGTATAGAACATTAAAAATATTTATCCCTGACTCTGTCCTCAATACAGTTGCTCTTGTGATAAGACCTGTCTGTCATTGGAATCTAGAAGCCAGTAACAGCCATCTGGGTTCAAATCCTATGGTCTGGGAGGATTTATTTGTTGTAAAATAGCAACCCAGAGGGCTGGGAGATGGCTTCGTGGCTAGGAAGAGTACTTGGTATTCTCACAGAGGACACAAGTCGGGAGGCTGGTGATGATTGCCTGTGACTCCTCTGTGGGCACCTGGACCACGTGAGTGTATGCTTCCATATACATATCATTGCATACGTGTGCATGTCATTAAAATTGGAAAGTGTGTCAGCAGCCCAGAAACTCGGATCTGAAATAATAAATAGTAAAATACAGGTTCAGGTTATAGCTGCCATGGGTAGGATTTTAGTCCCATTTGGGAATTTGCTGTTCTGCCTGAGAAATTCGGTTCCCTCATTCTGTTCACTTGCATTTGCTTATTCGTCATAAGTGAAGAAATCAAGTATTTATTTATTTAGCATTTATCAAGTTGCCACCAGACTCCCAGGCAAGGGAAACACAAAAATGTTCCCAGGACTGCCCTCAGTGATATCATGGCCCAGTGAGGCAATAAGGAAACAATGAGGAATGGGATGCTGTCTCTACAAGGAAGCGGCCTTTTAAATACCAGATCTTACAGACAATCAGAAAAGGGTGCTGCTTATTAACAGGGCCCAGATTCTGGAAGAGGAGTTGGCCCCTGGGCCAAATGTAGCCTGTGTTTTGTAAAGGTTATTTGGACATAATGGTTTTATTGGTTTTCTTGTCAGTCTACAACTGACTTCATGCAGTGGGCAGACAACACTAGTTGCAATAAATACTAAATAATCCACAAAGCTGTAAATATTACTAATTTACTGCTTAGTAAATACCACTTAGTTAATAGGCCACTTGGTCTATTGTAGAAAGAGTTTGCAAGCCAATGCTCTAGACGCATTCAGAGTCTTGGGTTGAGTCTTAGCTTCACCACAAATATATAACTTTGAATACCACATAGGTACTCTGTCGAGGCTAAGGAATTAGCCTCAGAACCCTGTGTGAATTGCAGGTAGGCCAGTTCCTTTCTTTGATTAATAACTACATCAGTTGCCCTAAACTGGCCCAGTTTCCATAATCTTCCCATTTCCCTTAAAAGTCTTAGGCGTTATATTTGCCCCCCCTTAAACTCTTAAAAAGCTTTTCAAGATTTTATACATGAATGCTGTAATTATATTTTTTCACCCCTCCAACTCCTCCCTTGTCCCTCAATTCTTCATTTCATGACCTCATTTTATTCACACACACACACGAGAGAGAGAGAGAGAGAGAGAGAGAGAGAGAGGCCTGCACATTTTTGAGGATCATCATTGCATCAGTTGCTTTAGAGCCATCATTCATTTCCCAAAACCAAACGGCAGCTAAACATTACTTGAATCAGAATCTGGCAAGTGAATTTTCCTCACATGGAGGAATGCTATTCTCTTTATATGTTGGTTACTTGATTTTGCTTTGTCTTTCTATTTGTTGCTAATAGCCCAGGCTGTCCTTAAACTTGTGATCTTCTTGCTGGCCTCTCTAGTGCTGGGATTAAGGTACTTACTGTTGTGTTTGTAGATGTGGTCCCATCTGGATGAGAATCGCCAGGAGCTCAGCAGACAGCTGGAGGTGGTGGAAAACAGCATCCCAAGTGTGGGCCTGGTGGAGGAGAGTGAAGACAGGCTTGTGGAAAGGACAAGTCTCTATCAGGTCTGGACTCCAAGGGTGTCTTTGCACTGAAAAGATCACATTTCCTTTAGAAATTTACCAGTAATTTTTAATTCTGTACAGTTCTTTAAAGTTGCTGAAATTCACAGATGAACATAGATTGTATTTGTATTATTTATAGTATATATTTGTATTATTTTTTATTGTTTCATATACTATGTAATGAATTTTAACCCCATCTTCTACTTCCTGTATCTTTTTCCTTCTATCTAAAGAGAACATTTATATTTTGATGAATACATGTTCAAGTTTTCAGAGGTCCAGAGTGAAGATAGTTTGTTTGGAAGCAGGTAGTGCCAGTGTTATAAATATCAAAGGAATTATAATGCAAAACTGCACCAAGTCAATCTCTTAACCCAATTTCATTGACCATTTTAGCATTTAAAATCCAGCCTTAACGAATACCAGCCCAAACTATATCAAGTGTTAGATGATGGAAAGCGACTTTTGATGTCTGTCAGCTGCTCTGATCTGGACAGTCAACTAAATCAGCTCGGAGAGCGCTGGCTCAGTAATACCAGCAGAGTGTCCAAGGAGCTGCACAGACTGGAGACCATATTGAAACACTGGACCAGGTAACAGGATGGGTATTTGCTTTGTGTTTTGGTATGTTCTGTGCTGTGTTACTAAGACTAGTAGATGCTGGAAAAGATAAGCACATTTAGTACATGGCAGAGTTTAGAAAACCAAGACAACTAGAGGGTTCCCAGTGGGATTCTTAGTAAAACTGCAGAGAGCAGCGCGCCATGCAGCTGGCTTTGTGCTCCCCCCCCCCCCACCATTGTCTAGTTGCTGCAAAGTCTTGGAGACAGGGGGAATGCTGAGTAAGAGATTCCGTCTCCAGGGCCACGGGAAACATGTTAGATTTTTATTGCTGTGACTGACAGCTGGGAAAAACAATTTATCAGAAGGAATATATATCGTGGTTCACGTTTCAGAGGTTTCAGGCCAAGGTCATCCTGCTCTACTGTTCTGGGTCCTGGAGCAGAATAGCGTAGTGTCAGGAACAGACAGCTCACCTTATAGCTGCCAGGAAGTAAGCGCGTGTGCACGCGCTCGTTTGTGCATGTGTGCGTGCACACATATGTGTGTGTGTGTGTGTGTGTGTGCGCGTGT